AGGGGAACAGATGTGAGTCCAGGCAAATGCACTGCTGGCAGGGAAAGAGAAATGAGGTCAAGAGCTAATAAGCAGGAGCAGCACTATCTGCTGAATAGTGTTTGCTTACAAAGAGTATTAGGCCTGTATTAGAAAAGAAAGAAACAAACAAAAAAACCCAGCAGTGTGCAGGAAACAAGCATCAGCAGGATGTGTGGCTGCAGAGCATTAGAGCCCACAGCAGCACAGTGGCTGCCAGCCTGCCCTGCTGCTCTCACTGCCCACACCTCCTGTGCTCCATCTCAGAAACAGCCAGTGGTGCTGCTGCCTGGGCCAGGGGGCTGCAGAAATCTCAAGGAGTGTGCAGTGGGTCAGGTATTTTGTTTGTCATTTATTGCAGAGCTGCAAGGCAGGGGACGTTCTCCTAGGAGTCACAGCAAGTGCTCTAGCTTGATACCACACCTAGAGAAAGCTGGACCAGGCAATCACCTACCCTCTGACATGCAGAGTCTGTTTGCAAAATAAGAGAAGCTTCCCCATGCAGTATTGATGTGGTTTGGCACAACAGAGCCCACACTCTTCCCACTCTCCTTGCAGTCCATAATCATGTGTAGCACACCCAGGCACTGGTGTGAATGTCAGGTAATTAAATATCCCTTTGACACATTTTTTCTACAGGTGGACCTGACCTATAACTCCTTGCCAGTGATTAGTTGACAGTTAACTAATATCAGAGGACAGTTAACATATCAGAGGGTTTATCTCAGGAACGAGGCAGACCTGAAGAACTGTCACCATTCCTAGGAGCTGGCCTTACCTTCCAACTGTACCAGTTATCACCTCCATCTGTCTTGCTTTATACTCTGATTGTCACAGCCTCAGCACAACAGCAACACCAACTCACCACACATGTACATCCAGAGTCAATAAACTTTTTCTCACCTCAGTTTCCTATTCATAAAAAAGTGATTAAAATATTCAACAACCCTGATTAAAACATTATTAATAAATTCATAATAAACGACATCATAATTTATGCATAGCCTGATTAATAAATTCATAAATAAACCTGAGTATCTGCAATCCCCATCAGTGTATAATCACCATACATTTCAGGTGACCTGAGTGCACCCTGGATTTCCGTGTTAGGAGCTGGTTGGTTTGCTTGTTTTTTAAGTAGAATGCCTGGTGCATTCAAAAATGGCTTGTATACCTATTTTCATATCATAGAACAATAAGAAAATTGTAATACGAAATGTGAAAATGTGAACACCAAATACAACAGCTTGCACGTACAATAACAGGAATAAATCAGTCATGTTCATGCTGTTTAAAAACTTTAAAAATAAAATGTGCATCAGCCCCAAAGCCTCCCAAACTTTGGTCTTCCTGTATGTAGAAAACAATGCATAAGAAAAAAAATAATCCTATATTTAGTAGCAAATGGTACCAGTTCAGGAATTTGAATAATTGAATGTTTGAATAACACTGAACCATGTTTCTCACTTCTCAGGCTTAGATGCATTAGGCCAATTGATCTAGCATTTACCCAGAGCACCCCACTCACTAGGAGGTGCAGTTAGAAATAATTCTAACACATTTGTTAAGGTGTTTTTTCCAGGGAGCCCTGCTCAGTCTCTGTAGCTCCTCTCCACCTGTGTGTCAGCTTTGAGAAATTGCTGACAGAGGGAGGACAGCTGTGAGGGCTCACCTCATCTACTTAGTCCTTTACAAGGCCAAAATCAGCTTCACCTTGATTAACTTAGTCTCTCCACAGACTACCTAATGGATCTACCCCAACTTGCTCAGCCTGCAGATCACTTACTTAAGTAGAGAGATCTGAAGTGATCTGAATATGGTAATTTATCGCTTTAAACAAGCAGAAGACTGTTGAATTTGAATTTTTTAAGACTACTGCATTTCTATATGAATCCCATCCATATAAAATGTAGAATTTTTTTTTTTTTTACACAGTGCCAATAGCCTCCTACAAACAACTAAGTACCTTCATACTTTTCCATACAAAACTAAGGACTAATACCGAGGTTGCCCAGCGCTAGACAGAATTTATCCTCCTAAATAATGAGGAAGAAAAAGACAACTATAAATGAATCTGAGACGGATGACTTAGATGGAAAGTTATGCCACAATTAGCTTAGCTAACTTTCCAGGGCCCAATGCAAATCATGCTGAAACTACTGAAAAAAATCCAATTCTTGCATTTAACTGGACTTGCAACATTAACCCTTTATTGAGCAAAGGACCTTTAAAATGTTTTCTACAGTAGCTTCCTTTCACAAAAACAAAATGATTGACAGACAAAAAGGCAAAGAATGCACAGAAGTCGATTAGAAAACACAGTATGTGGCTATATATCACCTGTAACCTACTAGCAGGTTAAGGATCATCTTGTACTAAAATTCAGATGTGAATTGAACTGTTTGACACTCACTATCCTTGCTGCTAACTTTTCCGAGTTATCTGTGAGCTGAATTTCATTTAGAAAAATAAAATTGAGTTTTACTGTTAAGCGAGGCTATTCCCTCCAGGTAAAATTTCCCCAGTGATCAGAGGAGATATTTCCCTTCATGAGATCCTTGCTGCAGCAGAATAGCAAAGACAAAAATGGCAGTATGGATTGAAATGCAGACCTAGACAGAGACGTGTCCAAGGACCACAGAAGCAAATTAAGGAAAAGCTGGATTCTGAGACTGGTCTGATACTGATGATATGCCAAGAACATCCATTCCTTCTTAGATTAAATATGGCTTACTTCTCACATAAATAAGGAAAATATTTCTCTAACAACGAATGAACAACCTGAGCACTGCAGCAAACTTGACATCCTAAAATCATCCTGGAGACAAAAAGGACCTGGGTAAGGATGGGTTACAATTCAGAAACGATTTTACAGACTTTATTCCAAAAATCAGTGTTTGGTCAGGAGAGGATATTTGAAGTTTTTCTCCCTTTCTGCACATACAACCATTTTCTGTTGTAATCTGTTTGCACAGGACCAGCATTTAGAAAAACCTTAGTAGCAGCATTCAGAGACTCAGAAAACTCTAATGCCAAGAAGCTTTTGATAGAGATTCTAATGTAAAAATATACACAAACAGATACGAGATTTGGAAATTAGATTTTAAGTTTGGTACTATTTTTGGCAGAAAAATGCACATTGATCTGAGTTTTGGGGAAAGTTACTGTAATCCTTACAGCCACAGGGACATAACGAGTTTTAGGGAAGAAGACAGGATAGCTAAAACTGTAAAAATATTGAATATATAGTTTTACAGCCTATCATGTATGTTCTTAATTCTGCTCTTATTCTTCCCCCTCCCTACTCCGTGACTCCTAGAAAATAAAATGGGATGCAGATGACAGAAACTAACTCTCCATGATGGTGGCAATGCAGCCTTCCAGCCCCAGACTGTGTAAAGTGCAAGAGGAATCCAACACAGTGCAACAGTGACTCCGTGGCCTGAAATAGCTCAGCAGAGCACACAAACCCAGGGAAAGGCTCCCATGTTAGCATTGCCTGTCAGCCCCAAAATAACTCAGAAATGCTCTGTAAGAGGGGACTGTCCCTTTGGTTTCTGAGTCCCAGTCAAGGGTCAGAAAGCCTCAGGTCAAAACCAGCTCCCTTGAGGTGGACCACTCTTCACTGGCCTTTAGCTAATGCAGATGAAATGCTTCAGAGAAATCATAACTGATAACTTTGAGAACAGATTAGTTTCAGATTTATTTTAAATTGATGTTTTCTTACTTTGTGCCATTTTTCAGGAGGGGAGGGTGGAGAGGGGATGACTATATTTCCAATTTGGTTATCAAGAAATTAGCTCGTAGGTTTACCAGAATTACTTTGCTTTTATTTTAACCTTGTCATACAGAACAGGGGCAGGCATAGCACTAAAGAGCTGTAGGCAAACACCCCAGAACACTGGTAAACAAAGACAAAACTTGAGATTCCAGGGATCAGGGTGCATTTCCCACTAAACTGAATGCACAAATTTAGGGCAGGTATTATTTAGTCATAAATAAAAGAATAGTTCCCTTGGCAGCTGTCACTCAGCAATCTGTTGGACAGGCAGTGACAAACTACTATAACTTTGGGGAAAAATCATTTGCAGATGAAAATTACCAAATACAGGCTTGATAGTAGAGGGAGGGAGAGTCTGAGGGATTGAAGAGAGAGGCAGGATGGGATAATCTCCAGGCCATAAAACAAAATACCTGAATAGACTGATGCCAGGAGAGATTGAGAGAATAAAGACCATGATATTGATGGATAATTACCTCACTGTTGAATTTATCCATGGAATTCTGTCATCTCTTGTCCTCATTTTGAAATGTGGTGTTTTAGAATGTGTTTGTTGAGATTCTAGTACAGAATTATGGCTTTCATGAACAAATCAATTCTGTCAAATCAGCACTGTCAGATTTCTGAGACAAAAAGTCACCTCAATTGCTTACTATAATGCTATTCTAGTACTTTCACTACCAGAATTCCACTTATTTAGAGTTATTTATCAGTTAGCTGATAGATGCGTGTTCAGAATTATATCTGATAAATCCTGGCAACAGAACAAGAATATTGGCACTTGCTATCACAGCTGCAGTCCCTGGCATTGGTCTCTGCTCTGCCTTTCAGGAGAAAGGAGTAGCATCTGCCTCCTCCCTGTAACATTCTCTGATGGGTGATACTGGTGATATTGCAGTTCTTTTTTCCTTTCAGCTGTCCCAGTCCTTTCTTACACTGGTAAACCTTTTCCAGAACAGCCTCACTAAGGCCTTGGGAAGCTCAAAGCACTAATACCTTTTTCTGAAACATGCTTATTACTTTACACTACACAGTCCTTAAGCACTGAAGTTGCACACACCTCCAAGGAGAAGAGGTACCCAGCTGACAAGCTTGGAAAAACATGGAATTCACTCACAACGACCTCTGTTAAGGATACAAAGTAATTTTTGTTTAAAAAGATTATATTATTGTAGTAATTACAACAGTCAGAGTTATTCACCTTTGACTGTGACCTGAGCACTGCAAGATGCCTGTCCTGTGTTGTTTTCAGCCAGACAGGTATAAATGCCATCATCTTCTGGTAGGGCATCTTGGACAGTCAGTTTTGCAACTCCATCTTCAAAAGTGGAATGGGCATATTGAATTGGCTGGTCTGCAGAAAGAAAGGAAAAGAACTGACTTAATACATCAGCCATAAATTTCAAAAGCACTTTAGTTTTCAGTGAAATCTGGATGCCTAACACCAGCCAGCCTAAGAAAGTGCAGAGTCAAATCCCACTCTGTGCACAGCCACTGCTCTCTAGTGACTACATCCAGCAGCATCCCCAGCACAAAGCACAACAGGGTTGTCAGACAAAGCTCACCACCAGATTCACTGCCTGCTACCTTGAGCAGCAGCGAAAGGATGAAAGTTCATTTTGGATTCTCTTGGAGGTGGATAAGACCAGAACTGTGTGTTTGCTTCAGACATGGTATCCATCTTGTAATTTGCTTTAAACTAGATAAAATGCAGAGAAAGCTAGAAGTGCAAAATCTGTTGGGCATGGAGAAGCACTTGAAGTCCTCTAAGGGGTATTTTGGAGTGGAAAACATTTCAAGAGCGACAGTAAAAGCTGCAATGGAACCAAGAAGCTGATCTACAGAAGCAGTCAATCTACACTACAGTATGGCCAGTAACAGAAGGGTGCAGCCTCATTGATGGTGATGTGATTATTAAAGAAGTTCATTTTAAGAAACTGCTTCCTTGAATCGGTTTGACATGCTTAAATATTAGTATAGACGGCTTAAAGTTGTCTTGCTATTGTTTCAGGAACTGTCATGAGTCTCAGCCATACTTTCTGAAATGCTTCTGCAATCTGTTTTCCCAATATTAAATAGTTTCCACTACTGACTCATCTTTGGTTGCTTTCCCAGTGTATGCAATACTTAAGCCAGCCTTATACCTGTGCATAAACATCATGCTGGAAATAGAAATCATGGTCATCTAAGAGAAGAGGATGAAACAGCAGAGAAATTGTGCAGGACTGATCTGAAGATGTCTGTTGCTCAGGAGTTTGTGGTCAAAAAAGATTGAAATTTATTTCATTGCCAATGTAATTTTAAAGGACACAGCTCTGGGGTTTTTAAGAACCAGTTCTGCATTATGAGCAGGATAAATTAAATGATGGGACAGATTTTTCTCTCATCCCTGATTTTCAAAGGAAGCCAACTCAGAAGGCAGTTATCTGTGCACTATCTATATGCATACAGTTTCATTCTGAAATACAAACATATGCCAAAATCAGCTTCATGCATATATTATAAAATGTGGTAGCATCCTTTGCTTATAACCATCTGTTAAGTTAGTAAATTTTCTATTGCATGAAAAATTGGGGTGAATAGTTATTCAACTACCCAGAAGAATTTTAGAATAAAAGCTCTCCAACCTTTGTCACAGGTCACCTATTCTTATTATTGGCTCTTCTGAGCTCATTTGCACTCAGTCACACACAGACTGTTGGAACTATTTCACTAAACCACAGCATTTCTGCATGTGGGAATAGTACTACATTGAAATATGTACAGGCTGAGCTAAAGCCCAATAAGCCCAAGGTTCTGTTAGAGGACGAGGGGCACTGGACTGCCTTCCTAGTCCACCTATAGAATGTTTCACCTGACAGGGTTCTGACAATGAAACTCTTACTGGTGACAAATGATGCTGTGATGCTGTATCAGAAACACACCAGGATAAAAGCTGCATCATGAAAAGCAGAACAATGCCTTTGTATTTCTGTTGTAAGTTACCCGATGAATAGGGGAAGTGTTCGGCACGGAAAAGCAAAATGTGGACGCCTTTTTGTCCTCAGATTTTACCAGGGGTCTTTTTCACTTCAGCTCCCAACAAAACTGGCTATTTTTCAGCATTATTCAAAAAACAGTGAATTGACTAACAGAACAGCCTTTTCATTAGACCCCAGAAAAAGAACACAGGCATATCAGCCCTTAGGAATAACCTGCAGCAAGACTCCAAGTTACATCCACAGTACTTATATTTTGATGTAATAAAAACAACTCTCCCAGTAGTGAAATGTTCCCTTCTCCAGAGGCAGAACAGTCAAATCTCCAGGACAGCTTGGCAGCAGGAACAATAACAAAAAATACCTTTCTGCTGGCATGTTATGCTTGAAGAAAGGAAATTTTCCCCAGGCCCATTTATTAAAAGCTTTCTGGACAAATCACAAAGCTATCCTAAAACCAAACACTACTCAGAGAATTGTTATGCTAAACTCATGGTCATATTGTTCTTAAATTCAGCAGAAAGAGGTTCAATTAAACTTTGGAAGAAAGAAAACCCACACAGAAAGCAAAAAGAATAAAAAGTTACTTAAAGCAGTCATACACTCCTTATTCCTGAAACTGAAAAAGAAATTAACTAAAAAGTATTTTAAGAAGATAAAAGTAAATTGGAGTTACACACTGAAGAATTGTCACCAAGAGCACACCCAAAAAGTTATTTATAAGGCTTTGGTGAGGCCAGAACTAAAACACAGGAATCTTACTTTCACGGAAGTTGCTAGTAAATCAGTGAAAATTCAGAAAGAAACTTAAATAAAGCACAGAAGGAGAACAAAAGGAGAAAATAACCATCTTGAAAAAGCTGGGAAAAAAGCTTTAATGGTAGATTTGCAGAGTAAGAGGTCGGATGAAATTCATTGTTCAGCCAGGTAGCTCTAATTTGTGCACTCTCTATGAATATGGAAAAACTACTCATCCTTGCAGATGGTAAGAAGTAATTACAGACAATGCAGAGTGTACATCATCTATTTTTTGTCTCACTTGACCTGAAGGAGAGGTCAACCTGTCTAATGCTTGGAAAATATTTTGAATTGGTATGTAGTCACAGCTGGTAAATAGTCTTGGTATATAAAGTAGTACTTGGATGCAACATTGTGAAGTTGTTGCAAGGCTTTCAGTTCTCAGGTGGTGTGGATTCCTTGGAAATTGGGGAAGGCAGACTGGACACCATGCAGCCTGTTCAGTGCCCAGGGATAGCCAGCCTGGAGGGGAGCAGGTTCTGCTGCCTTTTTTTTTTTTTTTTCCTGGGATAGCCAGCCTGGAGGGGAGAAGGTTCTGCTGCCTTCCTTTTTTTTTTTTTTTTTTTTTTTTCCTATTTGTTTCTCAAAGCAGCCTTCTGTTCCTGTTTCTTATGATTGATAACTTGGTCTTTGCATTCATTATTTCACCAAGATATATATTCTTTCCCCACTATTCTGCCCAAATGAATTCTGGTTTGTTATCATTGTCATGCTTGCAAGACAACTTGAATTTGATATTTTCTAGTGAACTTTACCCATCCTGTTCCATGTGATTTTTATGTCTACGGAGTTCTGCAAAAGTGTTGTATTTTGAACAGTAGTGGGGTTGCTCACAGCATATTGCTTTATCCTCTGTCCTAAGAGAGTTCAGTTGTGAATATAAAAAGCTTTGTATTGCAGACAGGGAGAGCAGATGCTAACACAACTTTTTTGAAAACAGAATTGGTCTGCCTGCCTCCAGTTATATACTGTGAATATACTGTTTTCTTCATGTGGTCAGTTGATGAAAGACTCCACCATGTCATTTTGCCAAAAGCACTGTTATGTCTGCTTGGAGTAATATTTCACAACTTTCTCCTTTATTTGATCAGGGATATAAATATGAGGAGTTTGTAGTATCTAGCTAGGTGGTAGACAGGAAGGAAATGTTTGCATTCAAGTGGGTATCACAACAGCCAGTTTGATCCTTAAGTAAAATAATAACCCTAGGAGTGTCCATGGAATTATCAACATTAAACAACTGTTTATAATCCTTTCACGTTTGTATCAAAATGGTATATAAACAGTTATGTCTCACAATCCTATGCAAGACAGAAAAGCATTAAACTATAGTGATATATTTCAGCAGCCTGGAATGAAAGTCGTGTGCTTGTGTCTTCAGAGTAACATATGATGTGTCTAATTTTTATTATTATGAGAGTTTCTTGTGCTTCTGTTACACAGACTCATTGCTGTCTTTTGATTTAAGAGCAGAGTTAATGCACTGACTCTCACTTACAGAACCTTAATGGTTTGAAATCCAGCTAACTAAAAAAACCCCACCTACACTGTGATATTGAGCCAATTGCAGTTAGAAGTTTGGATGCAGTGTAAACATGATTATACCTGAACAGGACCAGACATATGAATTCAGTGAGAAGAAAGGCCAGTATAACATAAATTGCCTGAAAAAAGGCAGGGGGGCACAGTGCATCACTGGAACGTGTGGCTTATTTATGTCTAGGCTTTGTTTCTCAGGAGACAACAGTGTTCTGACTAGAACATGGCCACATGAATGGAGACCATATATCTGTGCCTGACGAGCTGTAAGTCATTTGAAAATCAACCCAAAGTCAGTCATCTGGGACAGGAAGATGCTCTGTATGTGAAGATAACTGAATGTAACTACATCAGTCAGTGTCTAAGGGAACACTAGGAGCAAGGGTACCTTGGTATACAAACATGAAATGGCTGACTCAGAGTTGCTCCTGAGCTGCAAGACAATTCTTGAACTGCCAAACAGAGATTCTAGTCACATCCGCAAAGGAGGAACTTCAGCATAGCCTTCAGACAGAGAAACAAATTATGTCCAATGGGAGAGTGTCAGAACTTTTACTCACATGTTTTGTGTTGTAAATAAAGCACTGGCCTTTCTATTCTGGACATGGAGTTATTGGGAAGGGGAACAGCCCAGGCTGTGGGAACATACCAATCTCAAGGTCACGGTTCATTTGCCCTGCCACCTTTTTCAGTTAGCCCAATTACTCTGAATAGCTACAGGAAAACAGAGATCATGTGCAAATAATTAATTTTAAAATAATCCTGGAGCAAACATCTTTATGGCAAAGTATGCTACTCTTTGTTTATAACACAAACAAAGATAGCCTGGGAGAGTCTGAAAAAAAAATCAATTGCACTTCAGGAGCAAAAGAGGTGATCAAGAGTTAAGATGAATAAATGTTTCCAGTGTTTTATAGATATGGCTTTTAATTGAAAGAGTCCTTAGCCAAAGCAAGTAGTGCCTGGATCATTGAAATCATTTAGAATTGAAGCAAAACACTGATTTTTGGGTCTAGCTCTGATATTAGGAGGCAGTTAAGGAAACTTGACTATTCAGCTGTGGAATCAGTGCAGGGTAGGAGATTATACAGTCTGATAAAAGTGAAAAATGTTTTGCTATTCTTTTAGTCAGCTCTAGCCAAACATTAGAATGTCAAGGAACATATTCTAGTTGAGAAGCAACCAGAAGAGCTTTGATTTCAAGATCTTGAGAACAGAGTTGCTAACACCTACCCAGCTGATGGAAGGGTGGAATCAGGCATTGGTATCCTCCCGACCTCTGAGTGAAATACTCAGAATGAATTCATAAACACATGTATTGAAAAATTAATGATGTTTAAACAATCAGTTGCTTTCCCATATCCACCTTAAGGTTGTTTGCATTGTACAGTTGGAGTTGTGTATCTTATTTTCAGTTAGTCTGATCGTGGTGCTAATGCCAAGGTGGAAAGTTGGTCCCTGTATAGTCATTCATGTAAGGGTTGGACTTGATGATCCTTGTGGGCCCCTTCCACCACAGAATATGCTGTGATTCTGTGACACTTCGCTTAGAACTGCAGGATTCTGTGGGATCATGATGCCAACCTGTTATGCTTGGAGCAGAAGCTCCTGCCAAAGGCAGAGGGGCAACACAGTACTCAGCACAGGGCAGCAGCAGCAGCACAGGCTTGTCGCAGCACTGCAAGGGCTGTGTGACACAGCCTAGGTAGTCACTCCCTGGCACAGCTGTGGGACACGGCCCAGGTCACTCCCTGGCACAGGGATGTCCCCAGCAGTGGCACAGCCGTGTGTCTGTCACGGCCCAGGTCACTCCCTGGCACAGGGATGTCCCCGGCAGTGGCACAGTGTGCGACACAGCCCAGGTCGCTCAGCTGGCACAGGGATGGCCCCAGGAGTGGCACAGCCGTGTGACACAGCCCAGGTCGCTCAGCTGGCACAGGGATGGCCCCAGGAGTGGCACAGCCGTGTGACACAGCCCAGGTCGCTCAGCTGGCACAGGGATGGCCCCAGGAGTGGCACAGCCGTGTGACACAGCCCAGGTCACTCAGCTGGCACAGGGATGTCCCCAGCAGTGGCACAGCCGTGTGTCACGGCCCAGGTCACTCCCTGGCACAGGGATGTCCCCAGCAATGGCACAGCATGTGACACAGCCCAGGTCACTCAGCTGGCACAGGGATGTCCCCAGCAGTGGCACAGCTGTGTGTCACAGCCCGGCACAGCCGTGTCACCAGCGCTCCCTGCTGGGCACCTCTCAGAGCTGCGGCAGCGCAGCCCCTGCTCAGCGCTTTCCGTGCCCTTGGTGCTCCTGTAAAGCTTTCCTCAGGTGTCCCAGCGGGCTGTGTTAGGGTCACCGAGCGCGCTTTGGGGTGTCAGTGCGTTCATGCGGGTGTTGCAGAGCAGGGGATTCCTTACCATTGAGAAGCCATGTGATGTGGGGCACAGGGACCCCTCCCACACAGCACTGCAGCACAAAGTCCTGCCCTTCGCTCACGGTGCATCCTTTCAAGACACTGGAAAAGCACGGAGCAACCTCTTCAACTTTTGGCCCTTGAAAAGCAAAATGAAAACAGTTCCTTTAACTGAAATTGATGAAATTAGCTTTACCACTTAGAGCCTTTTTCTAAGTTTGTTTAGAGGACATGGTTGGGCTAACCATGGTGAAATGTTTTATTGGGGGATAGAAATAATTTTGAGCAGTGGACTGGTATAAAGAAGGGATTCTTCTCTCATCTCCTAGGCAGCATTGCCAGGCCTCAAGCTCTGTTTTAGGTGGAGATTTTCTGATGATTCTGCCAGAATCCATCATTTGCAGCCAATCAGTAGAAGTATACACAGCATACTAGCAGAGAGCTCAGCACAAAGAAGAAGATGGCTAATTCTCTGCTCATCTTTTCCCAGTCCCTCTCCCAGTGAGAAACAGAGTGACTTAACGATGCAGTTTATATGCCTCTCGTAAGACAGAAAGAAATTATCTTGGGTATCCTGCTTTAACTTCAGGCAGAGTAAATGGAGAAAAATTGTATGAACATGGATCCAGAACAAAACTTAAAACCAGGTGAAAACATTAGAACTGAGGAGACAGGACTTGGTAGACCCAGCAAAAATTTCAACCAGACCAGTAAGACACTGTCTTCAAGCTTAGAATAATTTGTCATTGGGACATTTTCTTGAATTTAGCAAATCCTAATTCATATTCCTTCCCTTTTCTTCCTATTGACTCTATTGCACAGAATTGGTTTGTACTCAAAAAACATTTCAAATTTGGGGTGTAGAAATGCTAAGCAACTTCAAAAAAGCTAAATGCAGAACAACAACAATAAACCCACTGACAGCCTGTATTAAATACAAGCATTAACAGGAAACCTGAGTAGAGAATGGGCCTCCCTGTGTACAAACCATGTATTGAGATGGTTTTAGCTATACAAACAACAAAACCCACAATATGTCAGAAGGGAAACATGCACAAAGTGGCTTGCTGGCTATCATACTCCACTTTATTCACAGAGGTAAAAATCAGAATTAACTTGCACTGAGAAGTCAAATAAAATTATGTATTAACTACCCTCTGACAGCTTAAAAAAGCCCAGCCACAGTTTCCAAAGTGCAGACAGGCTCACAAGAACTTACTTACTTCTGACAGTTAACAACCAGCTGGTGGAAGTCTGGCCTTTGGGGTTGACAGCTGTACAGCTGTAAGATCCACTGTCCCTCAAGTAGGCTTTCTTTATCCACAGGCAATGAATTCCATCTTCCTCATATATTTGGACATCTTCTCCAGCTTTAATAGGTCGGCCTTCTTTGAACCACTCCACATCTGGTTTTGGCTTCCCTGAAACTGGACAATCAGACATTGGATTTTTATGAATAGGTATTCATAATTAGCATTATTTAGTGTCTATTTAATTAGTATTATTTACTTTAGTATAAATTTGGTACACTTTATACATACATAATTATATAAACCTTAATGGGCAATACACAAAATTGTTGTCAGAAAGTTTGATATTTCTGATCTTCTAAAACTTCTTGGCCATCTGTCTCTTAAAATAACAAATACTTGGTAACATGTAAAACCGTACTGAAAAAAAGCTACTGGCTGAAAACTGTTCTTCCAAAAGTCACAGACAAAATGGATGTGAAACTGAAACAGAAAAGGTTCTGTCCAAACACAAACCCTTCTTTACTCAGCATTGGCACAGGTTGCCCAGAGAGGCTGTGGACTTTCCCTGCCCTGGAGATATTCAGAGGTCACCTTGATACAGTCCTGGACCTGCCCGAGGTGAGGATGCATGAGCAGGGAGATGGGCCAGTGAAAGCAACCAGTGGTCACCATCTGCAGAGAGGATTCTCAGGAGACTTTCTCAGAATAGTTATTAAAGGGCATTAGGGACGTCCCGCTGTGATTTCCCTGCAGACACCTTGCCTTGTAAGAGTTTGTGCTTTGGGTCCAAAGCCAAACAAAAAGACATTCACTGGCTGCAATAAAAACTGGATGAGCTCCTTGTTCATCTGTGATAGGGGCTCTATTTCCCTACCAAACAGGGTCGTGGAAAGCTTGCAAAGTGTGTGAGGTACTCTGACAGAAAACAATTCACATTTTTAGTAATAGAAGTTTTAAAAAATAAACTGTTCAAAATGTGCCAGGATCTTTGGAATATTTTCTCCATTCCAAATACTCTAGGCTTGTGATAGAAATTATATTCTGTACTCATGGGGCAAGACTCATCAAGAAATAAAACAAATTACCGTGTTGTTGTGTTTGGGGTTTTTTTCCCCCTAGAGAAGCAAAAAACCAATTTCTTTCTCATTTATGTGAACACTTAGAAGTGTAAGTGTTACTTATAAAAAAGCAGAAAAATGCTTCCAGATTATTTTCTAAAATTGTAATTAAATAAAAAAGAGAAGTGTTCCAAATCTACTACCAAGATTCAGCAAAATGCAACTCTCATTACTCTTCTAAGAGGTTAAAACCCATTCATATTCTGTGGAGCAAATTCTAAACCTCTCTTTTAATTCTTACTTTATCATTTCAGCTGTTAGGAAGCACTGAGATCATGCTGACCAAATATGAGACATAAAAATAGATGCCACTAGGGACATGAAGTGACTGATTGTATTTTCTCCTCTGATATTTTTATGGCTCAAGGGCAGTTTCACTAATTACAGTTCTGGAAAGTGTACCGTCCATTTTCTCTCTTGTACCCTCATACAAAAGGGTCTAAAACTACCTCCTAGAAGGAGCAGCATTGGTTACATCTGAGGAAAACCCAGATGAGAGAGGAGATGGACACCATGGCATAGTCTGGTTTAAAAATTTCACTAAGTGTTGTGGAAACAGCACTGGATTCTCATCTGTTTCCAAAAGGCTTTAGGAGGAGAGCAACTTTCAAAAGAGCAGGAATTGTTTTCCACTTCTACACATAGAAAGGGAACCCCTTTTAGACTCCAATAATTTTTATCCTTTTACCTTTGCTTTTGAATTTTATCTCCTGGCCTTCTGATGCTTCCAGGCTCTGTGGATGGATCTCAAACTGAGGGGGAATTCCCAGGGGCTCCCTCTTCTCCTCCATTACAGCCCCCTGAGCTCCAGACCTGTTTTCTGCCTCTCTAGTCCTGGGACTGACGTGCCCTGTAGGAGGTGGAGTTTGTTGAGCTGACATCAGGAGCTGCACACCCCTTTTTCTGTTTTCACCCTGTCTGATGGCAGGGGCCTGGGATTCTGCCTTTGGTTCTGGTTGCAGTTTGACAGATTGTAGTGTGATGGTGCTTGAAGTTTTCTGCAAGACTTGAGGTCCCTTTTTTCCTTCTTTATGGTCTGTGTTGTTTTCTTGGTGCTGTCCTTGTTTACTTTCTTTGGCTTCTCTGGTGATGTAAAAGGACTCTTTCTTTGCTGACACCCTGTCTTTGGTTTCAACCATGAGTTCTGTGCTGCTGGATTTCAGCTCTTTAGCAATCCCATTGCTGGTTGCCTGTTTGAATTCTGAATTTTCAACAGCTTTAACAGCAAGTGTCGTTGGTTTTGGTGGCATGCTGAAGGAAAATGAGAAATTTGGAGATACATGACACTGTATAAAGACTCATTATTATTATTATCAGTAATGACATAAATACATAAGCCCTCAGCAAGAAGGTGAACTGATTAACCTTTAGATTCTGTCACACAGATCAAGAAGATGGGTCAAAGAGGTGAAGTGAAAAGCTTCATAAGATGAAATCAGGGCTCAGACACTATGACAACTCAGGAATTTCTGGATGTAAGTCCACTGCTCAAGTTCTAACACGTTTTATGAGTCAGACATTAACCTTGCATGCACTGCTTTAGATGGGAAGCAATTACATGAGATCTGAATGACCATGATGTAATACTACTTGATGCTTTAATAAATTGAGGTAATGTATAAAATAGCTCACAATGCCACATAAAATATTTCCCTAAAGGGAAATGAAAATGTAAATTGTGAACTCATTTTCTATTTCTAATTATGGTGTCTTGTAACTCAGGTAATTTCAAAATAGGATTGATAGGATACCAGACCAAACTCTCAGGGAAGAAGAAGGTGTGTCGGCACCTTAAAAACTTGACTGGATGTAACAATACAGGACTGATAGGATACCAGACCAAAGTCTCAGGGAAGAAGGTGTGTCGGCACCTTAAAAACTTGACTGGATGTAACAATATGGATTTATTAGGAAGAGCTTCTTGAATTATGATTGATCTGCTGCTCAGTACTTTGGGAGCACAAGAGTAGCTGACCAACTGGAGACTTGAATCTAAGTCTCCTTCATTGAAGTTGACTGCCTTAATCCCTAACTCTTACCTATAGCGCACTGTCTCTGTCTCACACTTCCACAGAATTACTCCAGGGCAAAATTGGAACATATCTGAAATAAGGGCAGCAATTTCCAGCCCAGCTCTGTTTTACATTAATTGGTGCCATTAATTTATTCTCTCAGGGAGACTTGGGATATTTGCTAGGATAGTTTCTTCAGCTGGAGTTGAATGTACTGTTTGAGATGTGCAGTTACTTTTCAGGAAGTCAGACTTTTTCATTTTACAAAACATCTTTTTTTGGGTGTGTGTGAATAAATGATGGAGGATGCAGAACTACTCTGGAGAACCACATGCATGGGGAGTTCTGCTGCCAGTGCTGCACAGTTTCATTTACACTAAACTTACTTTCAAGTATGTTCCTAAAAATCACACAGATCTGAAAAACAGAATAGCACAGCATTTTCAATTCCACTTTGCAATTAGGACAGTGTGAGCATGCCATTTAGAAATCTCATCCAGGGCATGTGAGAACAGATTAAACATCCCAATGACTATAAAGCTACTGGCCTTCATCAAACTGTCTCTACACAGAGAGCCTTGAACTTTTCATTCCTGCATTTCCCATTAACAAAGAAAAGTAATTCTATAAAATAATTTTTTTAATTATAGTAATTTAATTTTTTAAATCCCGATAAAGGCATAAATATTATTTTTTTCTTTCTTGTTACTTTACCCCTACTTTTGTATGTGTTTTCAGACAACAGCAAAAGACCATGGCCATAGCATATTTAGTGTATGACAGAAAAGAACAACCAGCTCAGTACTGACAAGGTGCACTCAATGTTAACTCCACAAACGACATTTGATCCCCTGGTACAATGTAGAATTTCTGCTCACACAGCTTGTTTTTTTTTTGAATTCTGCTTTCCTGAACCAGACCAGAACTCTGTGCTTCATAATGTTGCCATCAGTTCCATCAGCTATTACCTATGAGTCTACCAGGACAGCTGAATCGGACAGCAAGAGAGAATCTTAACTCCAAGCAAACATTTTTTGACTTCCAAATACAGACTGACCCTCAAAAAATGCATCACTTTGTGAAGACAGCACATGCAGTAAATGTCAAAATCAGTGCACTGCAATTAAATAGTCAGAGAATGCACTCCAGTAAAAACATACCAAGGTGGCTGAGTGTATGTGTCGGTCTTATCTGGACCTGGAACATAAAAGAAGAAACAGGTAAATTATACATACAATACGCACAATTCCAAAAAATTGGAAGATTTTAACCAAAAAATATACTTAAGAACCTTCACTCTTCAAATTTTCAATGCACTGAAGTAAAGATTGACTATCACCACACCTGGAATTGATATGGACAACAGGAAGCTGCTCAGCTGAAACACGAAGAGGTCTTGGTCCGTTTTGAGACATTGCTGCATCATGTTCTCACAACCCTGCAGAACTAAAGGTTCAGGGACACTCAAATGCTCTGTGTTGGGGGAGAGATGTATGGAAGAGATTCCAACTGAGAAGCAGCTTATCAAACCTTATGGTAATTCCACAGAGCTTTTAGAGGTAGAGAAAGAGAAGCTATCAATCAGTGTTACACCTGAGCATGCTCACGGTGAAACTGCAGCAGTCCTCTGGCTAAGACACAGAACCAAGTCAACAGGAGTAAAACCTCCCAAAACCTGGACCCACCTGTAAACATTTACCAACCCATTTGCTGTGTAGCAAGAATTATTATGATTAACATGAATAACTCAAAAGCCAATGCATGACATTTCTTCACTTTGCAACACCACCAGGAAATGTGGGAACGTGGCAGAGCTATATTGATTTGCCAAGGTGCTTCATCAGCTGCACTGATAAAACTGAGCACATATTGACCCACAATCAGTCTCCTGATTTGTAATCCTCCATGAATTCTCAAAAGCCTTGACAGTGTTTGTTTCTCTTGGGTGCAGCATGAGATAAATAGTTGTGAGGAGAGAAATGCCATTGAAGGTCAAATACCAACCACATCTCTCCATTACCCCTTAATTAAGATTTCAGGATGGAATTTGTTTTCTCCTGGTCAAATCAAAGCTGCAGCTATGCTGTTGTCAGCTGTGAGACTAGAAACTACAGTAGAAAGACATGTAATAATTAATTTGCAAGATAACTATTTTTCAAGTCATCAAAAAACACTTCATAAAAATGCTTCTAGAGTCTCTGCCTCAGGGAAAAGACAAAATCATGTGATGGATGATATTCTCATTTCCATTGTGTTTTGCAAGCAAAAATTCACATCTAAATGCTTGGACTTGCCATGGCATTCAGAGTGACCAAAAGTATTTATTTATACAAAAACAAAAGTTGAGAAAAGAGAGAAAAAAACCCATTGACCTTGTTCCAATAAACCTGTCAAACAGTAACAGAAATACTGAAATTAAAACCGAAAAGACTGGATAAATGCAGAAAAGGAGGCTTCGTAACTACTGGCTGCAGACAAGACAGTACCATGCAACCTTGTCTATTAAAAGAATATTTCCTTTTCTCTCTTCACTGTCCACTCAGGGAAAAAATACAGCTATTGCAGGAAAATATCTATATATGAGATTACATGTTTTTGAAAGAACATGCAGTACTTCTGAGCCACTTGATTGTCTGCTAGCATCTTAGAGCCTCTCTGGCAATCTGATCTGATTGATAACGAAAGAATTAGGTATTATATATTGAGGTTAGGTAAGTGGAACCATCCAATTAATCAAGAGCATTGCAAAAGAGTGCCCTTTTTACCGACCTGCACTAATCCAAGAAAGAATGGATTATTCAGAGATGTGGTCAGCGTCTGAAGCAAACATATACCACAGCTGACTTTGTGACCCCAGTTCCGCATCGTCTCTCAAGGCAGATGTAGCCATTACAGAACAGAAAGCTCACCACTCCAGGGAGAGCAATTAGGAATCGAGTTTTATGTTTGGATAAAAGGCTTATTGAAAGAAACAGGCCTTTTTGTACAACCTCTGTTGAAGAGGCAAACTGTAGAAGCTTCTTCTACAATGGCTTCATCAGATTGGAACTTACAGATAAAAAGTACAGCTTTAATTTGTAGAAAGGTTAGCTGTGGTTCTGAGCATCCCAAAAGTACATCCACTTATTATTTATATTCTTGAGCAGAGTGACAGCATTGATGTGAAACTGAAAGTCCTGCAACAAAAAACTCACTGCTGGGTGCACATGTAACCCACTGAGCTGAAGCCAGCAGCTATGGATTTAATTATTTAATTGGGTCCAATGACTGCTTTCCCACTGATTGATGAACTTCCTTTTTAGTGAGCTTGCTGAAGGCTGTATGATTTTGAAGCTGATGCAACAGGCACCCTAAGAAGCATCAAATTGCAAAATGAACTGTATATAATAATGCATGTATGAAATAGAACATTCTACTTATGCAAATATATTTGTTTCCTTAAGAAGCAGTGAAATAGGCTGATTTGGGAGTTGAGAAGACTGAATTTTAATCTTATTAAGAATGGGTTTTTTCTCTCTCATAATTTAGAATTATGCTCTCTTTACTTTCCTAGTTCTACAAATATAGATAGAATTTTGCCTCCCATAAGGGAGTTGGTATAAATGTGCATCTGGTGCTAGTACTCAACAAATACAAAATTAATTACTGATCATAATGACAAGTGCCAGGTTCCATTTGCTGAAAATCAAATCAATGTTCAAAACATGGAAGCCAAAGTCACAGTAAAAGCGAAAAGGTGTTTTTAAAGAAATCTGTTACAAAGCACTTGGATTGCCTTTTTTCCCATTGAACCAACACAATTTTTACAGCTCTAGCATTCTCCAAGCTATCACAGCATCATTTAATAAACAGAGGGAGAAAGAGAGAGAAGAAGATAACAGAAAGCAGTGAATGTTTCTTGTAAATATCAAGAACACAACCAGAGACATTTTATCAGAATGTCTGTGGCCCCTTTTCTCTCTCCTGAAAACTCTCTGCTGTACCTTGAACGGTGAGCTCTGCAGACACAGACGCCTTCCCAGCGCTGTTCACCACTGTGCACGTGTAAATTCCTGAATCAGCAAGCTGAGCATTTTGGACCTCCAAGAACTGGATGCCTGTTCTCTCATACATGTTGAAGCGCTCATTTGGCTGTAACTGAATATCACCCTGCAAATATCACAAGGCACCATGAGACAGTAGCTATTGGCAAGAGAAGGGGAGAAGAATTTTTTAGTAAAACATTAGGTCAAACTGCTTTTTTCCTATCCATTAGCCAAATTCCTTCTATGAATAATACTCATATGGTATAAACAAAACAATAAACTGTGTCCAAAATTCTGTAATTCATGTCTTCGGGAGGCTTCCTTTTTCCTCTATTTTGCCACCTACTCATCTCAATTTGGTTTTGGCCTTTCCCTATTTATTATACCCTGATTCCTTGAAAAAATTCTTTTCATTGTATGTGGGCTCAAACCAGTTTTATGTTCCTGTTTGCTTCAGGGAGTCAAATTCTTTTAAGCAAAAGCTTCCAATTGGGAGAGTAGTTCTCTATCCCTCAAAAGCTACACTGGAGTTAAATCCAAAGATATGGCTTTGAGGCAGGAAGAAATGTGTGCTCTATTACACAAACTAGATGATCACAATAATAATCCTTGCCTTTAAATTCTACAAAGCAATTGACCAATACTTCATCTGTGAGTAAATCATTGCTTTTGCTTCAGCATTATCCATTAAGAATGAATGCTTTGCTATCAGACACCACAGCTTCTCCCATCCTAGTTTAGGAAGTTTAGGAAGAGAAAGTCTACAAATCTACTATTTTACTTGAGCAGTAAACATTTGGGAAACATTGCAATGTTTACAGACACTGTCATTCTTGAAGTCTATCAACTTGTTGCTATCTGGGTGCTTTTTGGTCCTAATGGAATTTTAAAAAGCTAGTTCACATCCGGGGGTTGGTGATGATACAGAAGCTTCTGTTCCACAAGTAAGAAAATTATAAAGAAAATAATAAGCAGTCAGATATTTACAAACAGGCTTAATAACTGGTTCTGAAAAGTGCTATTTTACTTGTTGATAAAGATTCCATGCTGTAAGGAAGGTGGTCATCTATTGGTTCTACAGTAGCCAGATGTGGTCCAGCAGATATGTAAGTTCATTTCCATTATAAAGAAGGTAACAATCAATAGCAAAACATTTTATAAAACCTCCAGCAAACTGGTTATATAAACTTAGAAGTACTAAAACGTAGATCCAAACTGCTGGATTGGTAGTCCCTACTTCCCATTTACCACACAGCCCTGAACAAAGAGAACTGAGTGACAAATCCTGTTTCGCATGGAGCTGCATGGCTGGAAAACCTGAGCGAGCCTGATGGGACAGGAACCAGGCTGTGGTGGAGCAGCTGAACTGCAGAGTCCCAGAGAGCCAGCAGGTCCCACAGAATGGACCTGGCAGAGGCAGACTCCAGACAGAGCTACCAGGTGAAGGAGATGTCAGAGGGCACTTCCACTGCAAGAGGCTGCCTGTGTTTGGTGGTGTACCCTGACATCCTTATATTGCAATCAAGAATGAAGCAGACAATTACTTAAAAGCATTTTCCTGTTCTCTGAGAAGTTTTCTGAGAATTTTTTTTTTCTTCTTTCCCCCTCAAACCTGGAGATACCAAGAGAAAATAGAAGCATTGATAAGAGTTGTGTTTTTTTCAGTTCACCATACATAAGGCCTTATTCTGTTGAAGGGTGGAGGGGAGCAGGATGCCATGAGAGCAGTCATATATTTGCTCTTCCAAATCAAAGTAACTCTAATTCTATAAAATACTAACAGTTTCAGTAAAAATGGACTAATCAGTGTAGTACCTAATTTCACCTGAAAGCTCCGTCCTTACAAAGAAAAAAAATGTGTTTGGAAATGACCAAAGGAGACACCAGCACTTAAGACTTCAATGTGCATTTCCTCCTTTCAAGCCACCAAATTTCGAAAGAGAAGGAAAACATAAACTTTTGGGGAAATCATACCTTAAACCAAGTTACTTGAGGCTGAGGTCGTCCTGTTATTTTACATGAGAATTTGCCTGTTTGGCCTTCACGCACCACAACTCGGTTGGGTTTTGTAGCAAACTTGGGTGGACTTTCTCCCCAGATGCTTGGCCTCTGCTCCACAGATGGAACAGCAAGTCTTGCCCTGCAAAGGCAATTGACATTCTGGTTTACAGAAGAGCTGGAAGCTGTTGTGGTTAGAGCACATGTCAGGAAGCATTTTAGACCTGTGGTCTGCCAACAAGGGTATATCATTGGTGGCAACCTAGACTGTAGTTCCATGATATTTTTCTTGGCCATGGAAGACATGGAAATGGTGGTGATGACTGCTCTTGACTCCTCATGCAACTAAACAGTGTTATGTTATGGACTCTCATCTGGCATACACAGAACAGATCTTGGGGACATTTTAGTTGTTCATAAGCAGAGCTGGGAAAACCAAAAGATAGGAAACACTGTATGCATTTACTTTACCTCATTTTCTGTTTTTTACTTGCCTCCTAAGAGTTTATTTGTATACTCGTTTACTGTTCACATTATTGAGTTCAATTGACACAGTCATTTCTGAATTATGAATCAGCACCTTGGTTTTGCAACATTTATGACATGTCCTGGTAAGTATTTTTAGTCTGGGGAAGACTTTTATTTGTAACCTCATTTGCTACAATGTTTTCAACACAACCGAGAGGAGGGCACAAAACCAAAGTACACCTGTCCCAGGTGAATTACTGTTAAGTGTAAATGCCCAGCTCTACTTACATGGCTGCTACAGCTGTGAAATTACATATGGGATGAAACTAAAGTGGCATCAGTGACTGCAGTCCAAAACTGTAAACAGTTACACAACCATAAAACATAAAACATCAAACAGCATTATAGCATGAAAAAACCAAAAAGGTGCAACTTCAGGTCTGTTAATGTCAAAGGGAAAACACACTCTGCTCTGAAGATTTGGTACAACAAAGGCACATTAGCAGATGGCAGATGGTGATTTCTTTTTTCGGTTAACATTTAATTTCGAGCAAATGGAACCATTTTTAAGGCCTTCTTTTCCAGATGGCCTTTTACCACATGCAAGTAAGATGTGTCAATACCTCACCATTTCTACCAGGTGTCAGAAACTAACACAGACTGCATCGCCTCAGTCCAAGGTGCTGCCAAGACATGGTGGTTGCCATATGGGCAGCTCCAGGTTTCTAACAAGAGATGATACCATAATGAAAGGATTTACATGGGCAGGAGGACCAGAAAAAGTATTGAGAGAAGGGTGATTGTAACATGCTAACATGAAAATCACTTTATCATGTAATTAAATATCTGATAACTTTTAATGTCATCTCCCTCATACTACCACTAAAGAAGAACATAAATGTGTACTAAAGTCTTTTAGTAACCATCTTTAGGTGGGGAGTCTATATTTATATATCTATTCACATAACAAATTAAAAGAAAATCAACTACTAGCTGGCCTGCAGCTTTATGGCTGGTTCCTAGACATGAACAAATGAAAATGTGTAATGTTTTCATTCTTCTCCCTTCTCTTACCATATAATTATTAATACTGAATAGGAGGAAAACACAGGAACATGAAAAGTGAGGACAATCACTCCAGCTTTATGCAATACAATGGATTAGGATAGTGTTTTGTGAAGTCTGAGGATACAACAAAATCTTACAGCAACCTGAACTGTCCTTTCTTGTTTTGATTATTTATCTTGTGTTTTTGTCTGTAGGTAATTTGCAATACAGAATTTATAATGTAAAATCATGTAACCTGATTACTCAGTTTTACTTATCATTTTCAGTGTTGTAATCTGTTAATTTTAAAATTTTAAAAAATAAACAATTTTCATATTAATGATGAAATTAAATGCTCCACTTTTAACCATCAGTATTTTAATCACTAACATAATCAGAACATGTGTTTTTGCCTACATCCAGAGTGACTCAGTGCCAGAGATACAAGTCAGAGAAAATTCTGCTTAAATTCAAACTATTTATAAAGAAATTAATTCAGCTGTTGGAAGAATTAGGCCTGAGGCTTTCAAAACAGTGACATTCACATAATTGTAAATGCTTACTGAAGTGCAGAAAGTACAAGTAGGCTTTTATGTGCCAGCTTACATCACCCCATCCACTATTCGTGGTAAAGTTACTCAAACCAGAACAATTCTTTCCTCTGGACTACAGTTTACCCACTGTGTTGCTTGGAAATATTTAAATTCTGTGTGTGAGAATGCTGATTCCAGTTGCTTTTATTTCTTACTGATGACTCTTAAAGCAGTATTTGCTCTGGCTTTAAAAAGAGACTGTCAGCTCATGGAAGTTGTGGAGAAGGATTTTTGAAAATCAGAGAGCAGAGAAGAGGGTGCAAAATTACAGCAGAGGAGGGTGTAATATTTAGGCATCAGCAGGATGCTCTGTTTTCAGCCACATTAATTTCTCAGTCAGTAGCTGTGCATCCTTCTGACTGCCTCAACCACTCTGCTTAGCCAGCAGCTCCCACAGTAGTTACTCTGCTTGGGGTATGTGGTGACTTTTAGAAAGAGTAATTTTACTTGTTTTCCTACCAAAATATATTTAAGTGTCTGTTAAACAATATCCAAGCCAGTAGACTGCTTACCCAGAGGTTTTGGCACTGGATGGCAGGCTGTATTTCATCAAGGAGTTTCCTGTAAGCATAGGACAGAAAGGCAGGAAGTCGAAAGTTTTGTCAATTGCTTTATCACTAATTATCAATTAGTTTATCGCTAATTATCAATTTTTATCACTAATTATCAAAGTTTTGTTAATCATCACTAATTTGGGAATTAGTGATATTAAAGACAAAGTCCAAAATATGCACTTCTCTGGGTCAGAAACATAAAATAGGAATGCAACACCTGCAGTATAAGGTTATATCATCTGTAATTCAAAGTTAACCTCTCCAGCTTCAAAACCAAGCTTTAGCAGAGGTGCTGTCTAACCCCCAGCCTCAGTTGTAACAATGCTGAAGATTATTCATGAAAAAATACTTTTCTGAATTAAACACTGTCGAATTTCTACAGTGCACCAGTACTTCAAATGAAGATAGCAGGAGGTTTTCAGACTGTGAGAGAGGTCTTTACTTGGCTGGGTTTTCGGTCCTGTGCCAGCCCGAAGCACCCTTGCTGCGGATGCCGCAGGAGGTGGTGCTCGCTGCCGTGGCAGGAGGGAGATGCCGCGGGAGCCCAGCGCCATCTGCTGCACGCAGAGCCCGGCCCGGGGACACCCGAGCAGCGAGCACACAGCTCTGGGGCTGTGGGAAACACCTGCTCTAGAGCCTAAGGAGAGCCCACATCACTGTCAGACAGGACAGCCATGCAGACGGAAAGAATACATCATGTTTCAGTCACGCGTTTTTCAAGCAGCAGGCAGCCCCACGTGGTTATCTTTGCTGAGAACAGAAAATAAAAAAAAAAGCCCAAAAACCCCCTGTGCCTTGCTATCTTGATGGATAAAGGGATTTTAGAACAAAGAGCACGTAATTCTTAAACTCTGAGAAATTCAGTCTTTGGGTACTGCCCTGAAGTTGTTTTGAACTGCAGCAAAAACAAAGTCAGAAAAACTGATATGAAATCAACTTATAAAAAATTCCACCTCCATGTAAATCATCATTCATAAAGTTGTCCAGCTTAAAACAAGGGGAAAAAGAAATACTTCATATAATTTTTACAACAGAAGGCAGTAGCAATCATGTCAGATTTATGCCATATTTCAGTATGTATTCTGAGTATAATGAGTTTTTGACTCTGAATACACTCAAATACTGATAGTTTCAGGACTGCTGCAGATTTTTTTTCTTTTCTTCAAGACTTCAAGACAAAGTTGTGACCTGACAGGTTTTGACATTCAACAGGTCTCTGATATGACCAAACTGCAAGAGGAGAAGCAGTACAATTGATTTCAATCCTTCCCTGGCTTTGTGTCACTCTTTAAATTTTAAACTTGGCCATTTGCAACTATCTAATATGCAGATGTGCTCTTAAAAATTCCTGGGTTTGATCCTGGCTGTTTCCTGTCTGACATTAAGCATGCAATTACAACCAGGCATGCAGCTTCACAGTTTTTGTCCTGAGTGGTAATTTTCCATGAAAATTACAAAGCTTAGAACAAAGTCTTTAAAGCTAGGACTTTTGTTACCTGCACATCATCACCCACACCTGAAACAGAACTCACACTTTATATAATTGTAGACATGCACAATGTCTTAACCTGTGAAGTGCAGTAAATGAACCTTACTCTTGCATCAATGAGAAGGCATGTGTTGTGTTTTAACCAGACTGTTTAGCACACCTTGCTCTTTTAGTTAAACTATAATCACCAAAACAACAGAATAAGAATCTGCTGACCTTCCACTGTCAGTTCCACGGTCACTTGACGAACCCCACCATCATTGGCAGCCTCACAGGTGTATTTGCCACCATCACCTTCCTGCACACCTTTGATGACCAAGCTGAACATGCCCCGGATGCTGCGGTCCACGACATAATGGTCTCCCTCTGGGACAGGATGCCCATTCCTGTACCATGTGATCTGTGGCTCAGGGTAGCCTCTGACCTGGCAAGATGTGAGAGAGAGTGGAGAAAGAAGGTAAACTTAACAGATGATGCTATCAGGGAGAAATGTTGGACATTTAGCAATGCAGTGGAAAGTTCTTGACACATATTCTTTAATATGTCTGTTAAAGACATACTCTTTGCAAGCCAAATGGCAGAAGATAATGAAATGAAAAAAAACTCTTGGACAAGCCAAACTTAAAATCATAAGACTAGTCAGGCAGATAGATACTCATGCAGAAAAATTTCCTACTAGAACGGTTTCTCTGAAAAAACACAGTGAGAGTGCCAATGAAAAATCCTGACACCTGGTCCCCACTGCTCAGAAACTCAAAAAAAGGGCAGTAATGCTACTACACCTCTGAGTATGCAAGAGTGCAAGGCTGTTGGACCAAATACTTTTAGCATGGTTGCCAAGGATTGGGCTTGTAATGTAAATCTGTACTCAGACATCTAGTTTTCAAGTGTGCTGAGACATAGTAGCTCCTGACAATATACAGGCAAAAATGCAGACAACATACCAAATTCTGTCTCGATCTTTAGAAGTAGAAGATAAGGAGCTGTTATTTGAGAAAGTCTTATTAAGGGTCATTCTCATGTTATGGCAGGAGAGGACTACAGGCACCTACATATAGTCACACAAACATGAAGCTCAACTAAAAGAGACTCCTGGTTTACCCAAATGTTCAGCAAAATGAACCAGTCCTGTTCTCATTAAATGACAACCATACTGGTATATCCCTGCCTCCTATGGCATTAATGATACCATCAGATTTACAGGCAGATCCTCGGCTGGTGTAACTGAGAGCTGAGTTATTGATTTGAAATAGAGCTCTTGAAACTTGATGAGGATCTGTGACTTTTTTTTGCAAAAAAATGGGAAAAGCAGACATACACCAGTTTTCACCAAATAAAAAAACTACTTAGGCAAAGGTTCTTCCTCTGCTCTGTGAGAAATGCCATCCTCCTTGAGGATCACTTTAGAATGTGCTGATAGTCAGCACACTTGCCAAGTCATCATAACAACTCCTGATTGCAGTACTCCTTTCCTATCCCCCTCTGATATGTCAGCTCTCCATCTCCTGACTCTTTGATCCTTTGCCTACAAGCCATGAAGTAACTGAGTGAATCAAGATGAGCTGGAATGAGTAATAGTCATGGCTGTGTCTGCTCGCTGGGAAAGAAGCAATCTTGCCTTCTGAACTATATATAAAAATTTGGCAACTGAGTAGGAAGTCCCTTCAACCTCCAGGTGGGCAAAGTATTGATGATCTGTCTTGAAGTGAAGAAGGCTTGGTTGTGGTTTGGGCAAATTCCTCCCAGAATTCCCCTCTCAGTTTCCAATTCTCATTTCAGCTCTACTTTCTCTGACTGCACAGCACTCACTTTGCAAATTACAATATTTGGCCAACCAATCTTACCCATTCTTAGGCCCTCTTCTTTAAAAAGCTTTAATTTTTAATGCAGCCCCACCTCACTCCAGCTGGGTTTATCATCTGCTGCAGCTTAACCCACAGCTGTCAGAATATTTTCTCTTTCCTTTAAATCTTGGGATATCAGTTCAGACAAATTAATTTTGCCAATGATGTGGTGACCTCTTCTCCCTGGCACTACTTATTCAGTATTTAAGGACATTAACATTTGCCACAAGCTGAGTATGCTGAATAAACTGAAGAAACTTTCCACTTCTGCAATAATTTCTCAAATTCTTTTTGAGTCTATCTTTAACAAGCAAAAGCCATGTTCCATGAATTGTGGGATCCTGCACAATGGGGAGCTGATTTCTGTTTAAAAATGTCACAGCGTTTTTCTAAAGCTCTCTGTGGTCATGTCTTTTTCCAGTGCTTTCTGATAAACAGCAGTTCCTTCTCGTCCCAGACTCCTCACCCTACCCTAGCATATTGATTTAGTGCTTACTCAGAGCACAGGCTCCAAGGAATATCTTTCTCAGCACATTTCAATTTCAGAAAAAGGGAGATGTGTAGCAGCAATATGAGACTGTTACAATACTCTAACTCCAGGCAGTTGATAATGTGCTCACTGTCACAGAAGTGACTTGCACCAAATAACTGTTTCTTACTATTAACTTGTCAATGCCCTCATACCTGTCTTTCCATTCTAGATTAGGAAACCAGCAGAGAGATTAAGTGATTTACCCAAGGCCAGAGAGTATATTAGAATGGAGTTACTAGTTCTCATTTTTGCTTCACTGGATATTAAGATAAATTTAAAATAGTTGAAGCAAAATTGTTTTCACACTGATGTATCAAGTATCTACAGTACAGAAAAATGAAGAGTAGCACTTCAACCGATGTGAAGACAGAAGCACCTTTTCAGTGGTTCTGTCTTCACATCACAGCCTCTTTACTAGCATTAGTCTAGCCACATCTGTTTACAGCTGCTGAGATTCTGGCCTGCAAAAGAAAGTCATCAACTACACATCACCTAATATATTTACTGTTTTTTTCCAGTTCATAATAATTTCTTCTGGTGATTTCATGGAATTTCATGGAATTCTTCAGCCCAGCTCCAAAGGCCTCAAGCATTAACCTTCCATCACTTGTAACAGGGAACAATTGGGGTCAAAACAATGGGAAATACCCGTCTTCCTTTTCAATTTTGTTTTACAATATTCTTAAGTCCCTCTTGGACCACACAAGGCAATTTTTAGCTGACCCTTCAAGCTCTGGTAGATTATTATGTATGTACTTCCAGTATCACATGGCTGAGGCTACATTAAGTATTTTTCCATTTCTTCTCTGCCTTTGTTTTATACTTGCTCTGTCTATATTAATGTGTTCATCCACATCTCTACACTGAGGAAATGCCACACCAAAAGCTACAAACACAGACTATCAGCATTCCATTTCCTTTCAAAAGGTTGAGTCATTCCCTTCCCAAAGTATGACTTTTTTTTTTTTCCTTGAATTTTTTGTCAAAAATGAAATAATGGGAAAGCAGAAGTTTACAGAATTGCTCTGTTGCAAGGATTTATTTCAGGTTTGGGTTTGGAATGTGTTTCAAACTGAGCCAGCCCGCTCTGAAATACATGGTCATGCCATAAAAGTGTCAGGGACCCTTAAACAAATCACTGGTTACCAGATTTTGATCCTCATGGATCAATTCCAGAACTGCAGCAGGTTTTATATTCCTCCAAACCTTTCCAGAGCTCACTAAAAACATCTGCCTTGAATAAATCCACAGCAAAGAGAAATTTATCTGCTTATTTAATGCCCAGCAGCAGCATGCTATAACCCTTATTTACAACTTGGCCTGTGTGAGTATTGCCAGTCCCAGTGAGGCTGCAGCTTCTCTTTACCTGCTCTACAATAACGAGTGGGAACTTGACAGCAAGCAGCAAATAACCATTGTATTAGCACAAACAGGAGTTTTGAGTTTTTGTCTGGACCCTTCAAGTGCTTAAACCCTTCCTGGAAAAGTTTGGTAAGGCAAAACAGTGCATCAACAGCACGGGGAAAGAGCTGAGAGAGAACCTGTGAGGTGTGAAACTCCAAGAGTTCAGATTGTTCCACATCTGAGTCTAAGAGAATGTTGTTGAAAAGGGATGGTGCTAGCTTCCCAAAGGAAAAGGAAAAATACAACAAATCCATGGAAGCTGTACACTAAAGGATAGTATTATTAGAAAATGTGGCCTTACAGACTATTCCCCACTGTCACAAACTGAAAGGCAGTCACTGACCACCAATACCAAACAGAATTTAGTGATTCTTTTTCTTGTTCAAAAGCACAGGAAACATTTTCTAAAACTTGGTCTCTATCTATGCTCCATAAAAGAGCTGTTTATATACCAATTTCAGAAAAACATAGGTTTGCTTACATAAGCATAGTTGCAGTAGCAGTTTAAGGCCATAGGATGCACTCCTTTGGCCTATGCTTTTAACTACAAATTTCAAACTGCTGCTGGCTCCAGTGAGGTTGACAATGAACACAAACCCACAGCACTCAAAAAGAAGCAGCCATAAGTTACAATAAACCAAAGTGTAAGTGCGAAACATTGATGGGGTGTGTACTGCTACTGAATTTTTCAGTTTGACAGTAACACCTAAAGACTATTAGAAATGATGGCAAACATTACACGACATATTCCAGCACGACATCCATTGTACTGGCTGAGGTGTTCAGTGCTTGATGTTAAGGACTAGATAAATGTCTCATTTTGCAGTTTAAGGTCACACAAGCACTGAGAGCAGGAAGAGGACAGCTATCAACAGGATTTATTGGCTTGCAAAATCTCCCTGGATTACATCATATATAGACGAGCACATCAGAAATTGCACTAAGACTGCCAATGTTACAACTCTTAAGAAGTTGTTATTCAAAATAACTCCCTTCGTAGAGATGATTTCATATAGTGAAGTATTAATTCACTAATGACTAAAATTCTTCTCAAGAGACAATCCTGCTCCCATGAAATCAGAATTTTAAAACATCCAGATTCTGTCAGCACACAGTGTTCAGTTGTGCTGGCATTTCTGCAGACTACCTTTGCCTTAATTCCCCAAAGTCCAGAATTAAGACCTACATGTGTATAGTTGTCAACCATTAAATGAAAGAATCGGTTTTATTTGGGAGATTCAATACATCTAAAGAAAATAGATTTTGAATATACATTTGAAAGAGAGATATGTTTTCTATTCACATGCATGTAGTGCAGTTAGCACATTCACAGTTAGACTGTAATGTCTGGAAGCAGTAAAACAACACAAAAACAAAGTGTGGACGACCTGAGTAACAAGCCGTAAATGAAGAATGGCAGTAATGAGAAATGCTGAATGTTTTCTAATGCATATAGGTACCTATAATGCAGAAGAGAATAAATTATTTGCCTCAACCACAGTGGACTGGGCAAGCAATAAACTTTCAAAAAAAATTAGCCAGTGGGTTGGTAGATGATGTCTGTCAGCAGTGACCTCCTTTAAGGAACAGCAGGTGTTTTGCTTATTTGGCTGCCTGCCTATCTTAGCAGAAATTGAGGAAAAC